TTACAAAGGGGCCGGTTAAAGGTTGTCTGGGCAATCTTATTTCTCGCTTTCAGCTGCTTGCCTTTCCAGCCTAAACAACATTCTTTTAACATATCTGTAAATGTAACTTAAGGACTTACAAAGGGAAACAAATGTTCTTATGTGACTGTATAACACAGGAATCCTTTCACTTACCACTGCGGTGTGACCACATGTGGGGTGAAACTTTGCTGGCTGTTTAGCTGTACATAACACTATACAATACTTCAGGAGAGGAAGTGAAGAACAATTCCAAATCCCAGAGCGTTTCAAATGTTTTTGTGTAGTGCTGCACATTTGAATACAGAGCACCTAATGGACGCCTGCCCTCCCATTTGTAAACCCCAGACCCTTCCCCCTCCCTTTTGCAATCCTATAACATCCCAGTGACAACTGCAGCAGTTGCTCACATAAACAAGTAGTACTGGGAAAGCATTACATGTAATTGTAGCTGTCTTGTAGTGAGATATAGCAGCTGGAATTGAGGAGGAGCCAGGCACATGTGACCTGTCAGCTTTCATGGAGCACCTACCAGCACCCCATAGACCATAATTTGGAAATATTTGCCACATCCAATTGAAATTGCCAGAGAGATTTTTAGGGAGGAAAAAATGTAGTTACACAAGCTGGTAAATCCTCTGTTAGTCAAAAGAGGATGTTGGGATTTTAATGATCACAAGTGTAGACACACCCAGAGTGGGGTGGTGTCAGAGCTGGGTTTAGAACCCAGGTGTTCAGCCTCCCTACTCCACCACTAGCTAGCGCTGGCTTTCCCTGATACTGACTTTTCAGGCACTGAGCACAGGTATTCAGGATGTGCATGTGTAGATTATAGGCGAGGCTGGTAGCATCACCTATTAAGATAGCACAATATTGCCCACTACGAGAGCCTGTTTTCAGTTGCTTATATTTTTGCTGAAGATTAAATGTTCAGGCTGAACCTTTCCATGCCAGGGGTCTGCCTTAGCCTGATTTTTTTTTTCCGTTTCAGCCAAAACTGTCCAGCTGTTTCTGAGAACCAGGCTAGTGAAAATCAGGGCCGGCTCTAGGTTTTTTGCTGCCCCAACCAAAAAAATTTTTGGCTGCCCAGCCCTGGGCTCTCTCTTCCCCCCCCCCACCCGCACCCCCGTCCCCCCCAGCCCTGGGATCCCCCCCCAAACGTCACCTCCTCATTCACCTCAGCAATCCCTGTTTACACTTGCAGTGGGGATCAAACCGTTTCTCCTATTTTTATTTCACTTTAGTATAAATCTCACCCCTCCCCCACAACGCCATCTTTAGTGCTCCAAAATGCACATGGAAGGCATAGAGACTAACCCTCCAACCTTGTACCCGGAAAGGGATGGGGATCTGGTAAAGAGGGTTCACGCAGAGGAGCGGGTGTGGGGTGCTTGGGGGCTCTACACTGGCAGAGAGGCAGGGGGTGATGTACTCGCGGAGGGGGGGGGGGGATTAGAGGGGGGATCA